TTAACCCACTCTAGGATGGATCTGTTTGTTTTCTTGGCAGTCCATGAATGTAGAGCCCTGAAATTGCCACATACTGAGATTTTTGTTGTTACTTGTTCTGTAGTCAAAACAACTCACAGCTGCCCCTCCAGTGGGTTTTCAGAGGCTGTAAATTGCATGGGAAGAGAAAGTTCACCTTTCACCCACAGAGCGGCTGGAAAGAGACTTAAATAAGTACTTCTATTATCACAAAGATGGCCCTCCACTGTGTTTTCAAAACAGTAAATCATATGGGAGAAAATTTTCCATCCTTTTCCCATGGAGCAGCTGGTGGATTCAAACTGTGTGCCTTTAAGAGTGCAGTACAACTTCTTTTCACTAAGCTCATAGAACTTCCTAATTCAACAGAATACATTCAAATGATCAGAAGATGTGAAAATATTAAATTCTCTTTTATAACCAGGAAAATACAAAGAGAAAAATGCAGTGAGATGCACATTTATCAAAATTAAACTAATGAAGACCAATAATACTAACTGTAGGCAAAGTTATAATATCCTGTAATCTGAAAATTCTATTCCTGAATATTTAGCCAACAGATAAGTACCAGGAGATAAATATTAAAATAGTTGTCAAAACATGAAAAGCATTAGAAATTGCTATATAGAGAGCAACATACAAATTAATTAATTTTAATCTATACATAGAACACCCAATGACAATAAAAATACACAAACTACAGCTATCTAGTTACGTGTAATATTACTGATGAGCCACAAAAAATTGTTAAGATAATATAGCACAACACAGACAAATTACACTCTTTGTCACTTCCTTTATGTGCATTATGTATCCAACATATAATGTTTCTTTTTGCCATCAAATTAGAAAGGACTCATAGGTAATCCTCCAATGGATTGTCAAGGGCTGTCAGTTTACACAGAAGGAGAATGGTCATATTGCTCCACAGAACCAATTGGTGGATTTGAACTGCCTGGCTGTGGGTTGGCAGTAAAATCCCTTACCCATTGGATCACATGAGTACACTGACCACCCCCCAAAAAAAATAAGCCAAAAGTTTGCAAAAATAATATTTTTACGTCGTAAGCTATAAAGTATACAAAGAAGAGAGACTGAGGGATTAGTGAATGGGAGGGACCATAAGACAACTGGATTTTTGGAAATATTCCTTTTCTTGACCTTGGAAGTATTCTAAGGTTGTATAATTAATAATCAACAAAACATTCAAAACAACAGTATTTATCTTAGTGTTCATGCTCAGAGTTCTGGAGTTTGTCCAGGTTTAACTAGAGAATTCACAATTTAATTTCTAATGAGGTCACAATCATTTAAGTGGGGCTGGGTCATCTTGAACATCACTTCTTCACATGACTGGAGGGTGGTGATCCTTATCTCTATTTCTGTATTGTCCTCTAAGTGGCTTCTCAATCTGAAATATACAGGGAAACTCAGAGTCTTAGATGACCACTGAAGGTTCAGGATGTCTATCCTTAAGAGATACTTGCAGAAGCTCTGTGCCTTTTTCCAGTGCAATTTGTAAACTTTGGGGAGACTACTTTCACCATCTTCTTTGTTGAAGAAGTTCCATAACTCTCTTAGAATCAAGAGAAGAGGACATAGATTTCTCCCTTCAAGAGCAAAGGATTTTCAGACATGTTTTGAAAGTGCTGGGTGGTTTACATAAATGCTTTCCTTTATAAGAAATTCTTCCAGACTTGTTTTAAATTTTTTCTCTATGCGTGGTGGCAATGTGAGACAATAAAGTCCACATCCCATAAGGAAGGTGAAGTTGTTCAAGAATTACAAGAGACATTACATCTTTACTGTTACTTTCTTGTTGCTCTTTTGTGCTGTTGCGTCAGAATCAACCGATATCTGACCCTCCAAGGGTTTTTCAGAGGCAGTTTATTGCACAGGAAGATTTTGCTCATCCTTCTCCATGGAATTGCTGGTGGATTTGAACCCCATGCCTTCTGGAATGCAGCACAGTTTCTTAATACTAGGCCACCAGAGCTCTTGTTTTACTGTTAGTTTAGCTCCTTAATCTCCTGAAGTTTAGCTTTAGATCTTAACAATCTGTTTCCAACTTACTTGTTCTTTCTATCTTCTTAGAACAGCTTCCTCACCAAAAAACCCCCAAACCAAACCAAAACAAACCAAACAAAACAAAACATATTTTGCCCTTGCACTTTTCCATATGCTTCTTGGAAGGCAGAATAATAGGTCACCAAAGATGTTCACATCCTAATCCTTATACTTAAAATATGTTACATCACATGGCAAAAAGAACTTTGCCGATAAGACTGAGAATTTTCATACAGGCTGATCATTCTGGATTAATCTTTCTCTCTCAGAGCAACTAGTGGATTTAAACGATGTACCTTTGAATTGGCAGCACAATTCTTTACCCCTACGCCACCAGGACTTTCTACAAAATAACATTCATTATAGAAGGAGGATAAAGGTCAGAGTTAGAGCAAGAAAAGGAGGTGTTACCAGAGAAGCACAGGTGGCTGTGATATTATTACTGGAAAAAACTGAAAAACTCATTGCCATTTAGTCAGATCTAACTCGTTTCTGATCTCCAGTAGGTTTTCATAGATTATAAATTGTCCGAGACTGCTCATCTTTTCCCAACAAGCTACTGATGGATTTGAACTGCCAGAGAAGTGCCATCTTTGAATCAGCAGTGTAACACCAATGGATTACATCGCCAGAGCTCCTCTCACTACTGAAAGGAGACCATGAACGAAAAATATAGGTGGTATCGTGAAGCTAAAAGGAAAGGAAATACACTTCCTCTTAGAATTTTAAGAAAGAAATAGCTCTTCCAACCCCACAATTTTAACTCTGGAAGAACCATTTTTGGGTATTTTACCAAATTTGTGCTACTTGAAAACACTAACTAAGCAATTAGCCATAGTAACAATAGGAAACTAATATGACATCTCATTTTTCTCCACTTAATAACCATGCATATAATGTTTTGCATTACTAGAAACACTCCCTCGGGCAAACTCTATTAAATTCAGTTTTAAAGACTCTGCTCAGATGTTCACTGCTCCTGAAACCTTACCATCACAGTTGGAAGCAATTCTCCATTTTCTAAAACTCTAGGGCACTTTATAGTACTGATATTCCAGTTATCACATATTACTTTATTGAAGTTATTTGAGGTCAAGAATTTATAGACTCTTTGTTGCTTCATGGTTTTTGTTCAGGGATTTTACACATATGCAAGGTTTTAGGAACAAAGTTATACTGAAAGAACATTACTATAAAATAAAGCATTTCAGCAACTTAAAATGTTAACTGTTTTATGTAAAAATGTAAAAAAATATATAACATACATTTGAAACTTCATCCGATGCATTTAATATCTGTTGTATGTAATGGTTTAAATCTCTGAATCTTTTGTGGTCTGAATTCGTGAAAGGTAAGTGCCACCAATGAGGAAACCTGTTTTAAAAGAAATAATTACATACCTTCATTAGTTTGAAAATTGATTTGTATGACTTAAAGCAGTTCATGAAATCACAGCTACATCAGATAGAAGGGGCAAAACAAACATTTTAAAAAGCTGTAGATTGCATATAACTAATCCTGAAAGTTTAATTAAGATATCTATGACCACTTGTGCGAGTTTAACTTACATGAATATTAATGTAATTTTACATAATAAATTTATTTGTTCCTTAAAAAAAAAAACCCCAAACCTTTATTTAGGATAGACCACACAATGTTGTACTTTGAGTACATGTAGAGTCTATTTTTAGATGTTTATGATTCTTCATTTTCAGAAATGACTGTTTATTTTGTTTCTTCCTGATTCATTAGATATATTACTTAGATAAATTAAACATTTTGAGCCCTGACCTCAGGAAGTCACTTAGATAGTGATGACTCAGCTGCTAAATGACATATGTTTCCAGCTGGTCTTAGTTTCTTGGAACAAAGTGGGATTTGCCCCTGAAGTCTAAATTGGAGAATTTCCTTAATAGTACTGCATACGGTGACTCATGTTGATAAGTTAGACTTGACAAATTATTGGGTGAGATGGCCTGTTAATGGGTATCATTTGGCAACTTGACTGGCTACATGCACACTTTTAAGACCTCTCTTCTGACCCAGCTGCTCTCTTATTCATATCTCTTCTATGAGCACATAGTCTATAGAGAATTATTTGTTAACACAAAGATGACACTTCTCTAGCCAATGCAATCTACCAGTGGTTCCACAGGAGAAAGAGAAACAATCTCCTCCCATGTATTTGCCGCATTCAAAAACCCACTAGAAGTTGGTTCTGATTCCAAGATTATGACTTTAAGGTTTTTAATTCAATAGGCAATTAATACAAATATATTTTTTTTAAAATATTAAACCTTTCAGTTAGCACAACTTCCTACAGACTACACCACTAGAATGTCCTAAAAAAATAAAATTTATTTGGTAATATATTTAAGGGAGCTCTGGTGGCCTAGTGGCAAGAAGCTGTGCTGTAATCTTGAAGGCACACCATTACAGATTAATTAGGCTTGTATTAAAATTACTATATGTATCTACGAGTGAATTTTCCTTATTCTTAGAGTAACACAGAGTTCAGCATCATTTAATCTCTCTCTCTCTACACACACACACACACACGTACACACACACACACACACAAACATATATAACACTCATGTCTGGCAATAAGTCTATGGAAACTGAGGAATTCTGCTGTAATTGTTGTTGTTAGGTGCCATCAAGTTGAGTATGACTCATAGTGACCTTATGAACAGCAGGTCTGAACCCTGTCCCATCCTGTGCCATTCTCATCATCTGACACACTCGCAGTAGTCACTGTATCAATTCATCTCCTTGAAGGTCTTCCTCTTTTTCAATGACTCTCCATCTTTCCAAGTATGATGACCCTTTCCAAGCAATAACCTCTTCTAGACACATGCCTAATATATGTAAGATAAAGTTTCTCCATCTTTATCAACAAGGCGCACTCTGGTCATACTTTATCTAAGACATATCTGTATATTCTTTTCTTAGTTCATGGGATAATCAGTACTCTTCTCCTATACCACAAATCAAAAGCATAAATTATTTGTCTATCATCCTTATTTATTTTTATTTTTTAATGCCCTGAAAATGATTCAAAAGATCATGAACTGAATCAGTGGCACCTTAATCTTCAAAGTGATATCATTACTCCTCTGTAATTTAGAGAGGTCATTATCAGTGGACTTGTTTAGTGCAGTATATCTCCTAATCTTCTAAATTCTGGTACCAAGAATGTTGACTATGTATCTAAATAAGAGGGAATCACTGACAATTTCAATGTATACTTCATTTATCATGATGTTGCCTATTGGCCCAGTGGTAAGACCTTTTTTTTTTCAGGATGTTTAAATGTAATCTGTATTGAAGGCTGTGGTCTTGGATCTTCTGCAGCAAATATTTTAAGTCTTCTTCATGTCCAGCAAGCAAGGTTGTGTCATCTGCATAACACAGGATATTGATAAGTCTTCCTCCAATCCTGATGCCACATTCTTCTTAATAGAGTTCAGATTCTCAAATGGTTTGCTCCTTGTAGAGACTGAATAAGTATCGAGAAGGGATATAACCTTGACATGCATCTTTCCTGAATTTAAACCATGCAGTTTTCCCTTGCTCTGTTCAGACAACATCATCTTGGTCTAGGTATGGGTTTTACATGAACACCATTGAGTGTTCTGGAATTAACGTTACATTAGTTATAGCTTATTATGATTCACACGGTCAAATATCTTTGCACAGTCAATAAAACACAAAGACTTTCTTCTGATACTCTCTGCTTTCAAGGCAATATCGATCTATATTTAACAATAATTTCCCTGCTGCGATGAGTTCTTCTAAACCCAGCTTAAACTTCTGCAGGTTTTATTTGCCCTTTTATTTGTTCTTCAGAGGTATCTTGCAACCTGAAACAATGTTGAAAAATAAGATTCTGGATGATTGGATGAAAGCAATAGTGGAAATGAAAAGAGGCAATCAGTCCATCTTGAGATGATAAATTCTAAAAAAGATCATAAATTTTAAGGAAAGTGTTCATGACTATGTTGACTTGAAAGATACCACAGGAGTACAAACAACCTGATTTAAAGACTATTGTTAAAAGGTCTAACTAATTTGAATTTTATTCTTCATGCCTCTGACATTTTAATCATACATTCCCAAATGGAATTATGTAACTGTTGCATTTTATATTACAGGAGACAGAAAAAAAATTGCCCTCACTTATATGCAATACTATTATTTTTAGCCCCTTTATATTTATATCATCATATAACTATTGTTCCTCCTGTACACAGGAGTTCTACAGGACACATCACCTTCCCATGGAGACAGTTCAACTTAAGAGACACTGGTCA